GGTTAATGGCAACCTGCATTATATCCTCGAAACAGTCATTGCTTGGATTTGCTTAAAAGGAGACACACAAATACATCCTTAGAATTGTAATGATAATTTAAAAAAGATACCCCAAAATAATTGGTTGCTAAAGATTCTGAAAGATATATATCAATCATAATGTATATTGACACTTAGCAGAAAAATCTATATTTGGGATCTAATTTAATGGAAAGTGGACACCAAGTCCAATTGCTCTTCAATCTGGTTGATTCCTCTCAGGAGATTTCTTATCAACCAGTTGATTTTTTATAAGATTTTGTTGGAAATATGGGGAAAAAAAATTAGGAAGATAAGAGAGGAAAGATCAATAATGTTTCCGTTAGTTGGTCAGAAGGAAATATAGAGAGGAAAGAAGCACTCTCTCTCTGAATTATCACAAGTTTTCTTTCCATCCAAACACCCTGTAACAAAAAAATAATAATAATAATAATAATAATAAATAAATATAAATAAATAAATAAATTCAAGGAACTATCTCCCAAAGTGACAAAATGAGTGTGTTAGTTTCTTGCCACTTAAAATATAAATATATATATATATTCTAGCCTGAATCATCTAGCCCAAGGTTAGTTTCATAGCAAAGTGGGCCTTAGCCCAGCCTGACCGGACTACCATGAAGACTGTTTATGCAATCTACAGCCCAGATCAAACACAAGCACCAGATTTATAGTTCTTAACATTGACATAGAGCTGGGAAAAATGCAGATTTTGCCAGGTGATTTCAGACGAAAATTTGTAAGCATAATGTTGGTATAATGAATCATATTGCTGGTTGTACTCTTGAAATATCAGAATCGGACGCGGACACGGGTTGTTCTTAGAAGTTGAAATTGTAGTAGCGTGTGAATTCATCATGTTTGTGGCACCATTAGCACTTGCTTCCTACGGTACAAAACTGTGATTATCATCACTACCACCAACACCGATACCGGCATCTACAAGGATGGCACTGCAGCAACAACTAGTATCAAGCAATTAGAAGCATTATTTTCACCACCATCACTGCTGTGCTTCTCGTGACGGTTGTAGCCAACCTGGCTTCGACCACTAGTTCCCTACCAGGATCTGCAAAAACAGAAGCTGGTCCAAAACCCTTTATAGCTCCTAATCTGTTGTATCCTACTGCAAGTTAGTTTTTGATTTCCCACAACATTCGAATGGTTTTTTGCCGCAAGTTCTTGCATCAATTTCCCCAAGTCGCAGGGTGGTTCACAGGCGGAGAATTGCAGAACACCTGCTATTACCATAAAGACAATTCAGCTGGAGTACATGGGCTTCCAGTTCAACCTAACTCGGAACCAGTTATGCTAGGGTTGCTTTCAACAAACTATCAAATATAGCAACCAGTAGTTTGGAATTGTCATTTTTCAAAATACTCCAATTGACTGGGATTTGAGAACAACTGAGCTAAATATAGACTCATCTAGTCATCAATTTCAAATTTAAACCAGCCAACGGTAAAAGAACCACATAACTACTGAATTGCTATTCTTACTAGCTCACAGAAGCTCTGATGCAAGGGATGCATATTCAATCAAAAAAATGTCTTTTAACAAATGACCTGTTTATTTAAAAAGCTACAATGTGCATTTCATCTGCATCCTAGATCATGAATCAAGCATTCTGATAACAAGAACAGCGCACGTAGATCCAATAATGAACGAATGCATATGAGACTTTATCACCAATACTGAATGCATACATCGTTTTCCCATCAAGTTTAATTCAGCTGGAGTACATGGGCTTCCAGTTCAACCTAACTCGGAACCAGTTATGCTAGGGTTGCTTTCAACAAACTATCAAATATAGCAACCAGTAGTTTGGAATTGTCATTTTTCAAAATACTCCAATTGACTGGGATTTGAGAACAACTGAGCTAAATATAGACTCATCTAGTCATCAATTTCAAATTTAAACCAGCCAACGGTAAAAGAACCACATAACTACTGAATTGCTATTCTTACTAGCTCACAGAAGCTCTGATGCAAGGGATGCATATTCAATCAAAAAAATGTCTTTTAACAAATGACCTGTTTATTTAAAAAGTTACAATGTGCATTTCATCTGCATCCTAGATCATGAATCAAGCATTCTGATAACAAGAACAGCGCACGTAGATCCAATAATGAACGAATGCATATGAGACTTTATCACCAATACTGAATGCATACATCGTTTTCCCATCAAGTTTAATTTCAAAAGCACAAAGTACCCCATATAACAGAATCAGATAGAATGAAACTAAAGAAAAGAGAACTTGGAATCAAGTTATAACGATTGATAAACATTTGAGAACACATTCTCAATGCCCACCCTTCTACCCCGTCAATCTTCAAAATCCCTAATAGAAGGGACTTCACAATTACCTAACAAAATCACAATAAAACGGCAAACAATATGCATATAGTTTTACGGTTCTAATTGGGGAGGGGCAAGTAACAGCTGAAAAAAGGACCAATATAGAAATCCTGACTTATAGGTTGACAAATCACCTCCCAAGCAACTTTAGCTCCAGTAGACCCAAGCAGAATGCCATTCCATGGAAAGCCTCCAAGGATTTTGTTAATTGTGAACTCGGCCTTTTCTTTTTTCTTTCATACATGGCATTTCTCTTTTGGCTTTCTGAATTTTAAAAAATGTTAAACACTTCACGTTCCAACAGAATAGGGCCTTTGAGGTTTATTTGGTTCTTGGGGGAAAAGATTAAAAAATTTGGAAAATGCAAAAAGGTTGCTTTGAAGACTTGCACCGAAAAGAATTTGGAGCATTCTCCATTCTTTCCTTCTAATTATTTCCTAGAATGGAGCCCTCAAAGAGTATCTTGCTCCCGCCGCCGGGGGGTACAGGAACTTTTGTTGCTCCAACACACACACCTAAAAATTGCTTAACTTATTCCCTGCTGTAATTCCACCAACAATTTACCAGCCCAAACAACCAACAGAAAATTAGAGTACAATTAGTGTCCTAAATTTCCTTCCCAAAAGGAAAGCGTTTTCTGCAAAGCTAACTTTGAAAGGGTGGAGCAGAATATATTGTCATAAGTACAAAAAATAAAGGAAGGCCATAGCTGAGCAACTTGCACTTATAAAACATTAGCATCAAGTATGCCATATCTTTGCATTTAAAGAGGTGCCCTTGGAGCTTTATCAGCTAAAAATCCACAAGGCATGAAATTCACAAGCCTTTCCAGAAAGTTTAGAAATCATCAAAGCTAGAGAAAGAAAAATGGGAGAGTCAATATATATATATAGATAAAGTAAATCCCAGCATAAAAAAAGTAAATAATAAGGAAATAAGTACATAGAAGAAAGACTAGTGAAATTGCAAAGTAGGAAATGAAACTCAGATCCTTGGTCAGAAAGATCCAAAAATGCACACATAAGCACTGTATTGAGGTAACAGAATACGCAAGTACGAAATGTAATTTTCAGTTGATTTCATGAAGAAAGCTGAAGGATTCGACTCAATTCAGCTTCACCCAAGTATTACCTACTACATAAAATCCAACGTGGTAAATAGTCTGTTACATGGACTTCAAACTTGTTTTGATCAATTGACACACAGGACATAGAACTCCATAATTTCTTCAATTGCACCCCCAAAACAACCTCTCATTCAAAATTTCATATTAAAGGGTAGACAAAATTCTATAAACAGATGCACATAATTCCCCATGATCAAGTACCTGTGTAACTTCTCCTACAAGTAATAGAATCTAATAGTTTTCAGCAAGTGATAGCATAAAATGCACTTCAACATATATCTAAGCATGTATTTTGAGCTTATAAAGTAAGTACAAACATCAATGGCTATTTAACTACAAGTGACTTCTTAATCGTCTCATAAGGCAAAGGAAAACACTCAATTGAAAGATTTAAGACCTGCATTCACCCTATTCTTTACAAACAGAATTGGTATGTCTCCAGAATGACTGTCATACCAATGAATTGAGCGATAATATTTTCTGCAGTGACAGCCCCCCGCCCCCCCCGCGGCCACTGCGCGAAGGGCAAAAAATAAATAAAAGGGAGAAAGAGAGGAGAAAAATCAGTTCTCGCTCTTTTCTCCACTCATCCAAATCAAAAAAGTTTAAGATTATGAAAATTTTTGGGGCTTTTATCAAGGATTTTCTGAAAATATGTGTGCATTGCGTATACAAGCAAGTACATGTAATATATATCAGAAGTGAGGCCTTTTCTTAAAGGAGAAGATTTGCATGAGTAATTTATTTTTTTGCCCACATTACTACTATAATCATAAGTATTATTATAAAAAATTTATTCAACTATCATACACATTTTTTAGGTCAAAAGCAAAATCTAAACTGCTCTCAATGTGGCAGCAGTATGATAGAATACATCAACTTCCACAGTCAATAACCTGATGGCCTGGCCTACAGCAACCCACAAAAATGACTACAAGACAAATCTAAAGAATTAATCCTAGAGTTACTGATTGTGTATAATAAACGACATTGGCAGAAATTTAGCCACATAAATTCCAGCAGAATTGGCTCGCTCATCAGAACGAAATATGCAGATGCCCACTAACTGTTAGGGTTGTTAAAATTATAGGTCTCTGCCTTCAACACCGACATGTGTATCTTTGCATCCTCACATAACAACATAAATAAACAATGAAGCATAAAAGCATTTGACAAATTCAAATTAAGAAGGGGAATAAAAGTTAAGAATGAAATAATTAACTAATAACATAGCAACCTTTTTGACAATTAAGGAAGAAAAATCATGATCCAAATCTATACAACCAACAAGCAAACATAGAAACAAGGCAAAATATTTTAGCTGAACTAAATATAGAGCTCATCAACTGCAGCAATTAATGTTTTCGGTACATAAGCCACATTCCAACTTATAAGCCTTGCAGAGCTTATTTCCTCTCATCAAGACAATACTAAGAAAATTATGGATTAGAAAACAACATGGCTAACATTGTGATTCTTGAAAAAGGCTTTGGCAAACACCAAGTAAAACCTACCAATATATTGGTACTTCAAATTATTAAAACCTGTCCCTTCGCTACACAATGCTCACCTTTGAAAATTCTCATGTTACTGAAAATGGGGGAAGACAAATTCAATGGAAGAAAACATAAATAGGGTTTTGAACAAATAACTCAAAACCTTCTTCCTAGAAAACAGATTGTTGAATCTTGGGTAAATTCTGATATTCTCCCCCATCCTCCATTTGGGAAAAAAAAAAAACGAAAAAGAAAAAGAGTTGGGATGAATTACCCAGTAGGAAGAACCTTGTGCTGATGAAGATAAGAATCATGTAGATCCCATCTAGTGCAAGGTGCCATAACAGTGTATGCAGTGCCGCCAAGTCCAAATCTTCAGCATCCCATCACAGCACAGTTATAAACAAAGTTACCACCAGATTGCTTTTGGGCAAGTAAGTTCCAATGCAGAGGGCCTTCACTTGGGACCCATGAATTGATTTCTATAAGCCCATCACCCAAAGCTCTAGGTCCACCTATAACAATGAGCTGATCTCCACATGCCCTAAATCCCAAGCCCCAACCATTCATGGAGCTTGCCCGTTCAGGCAATCTCCCCACGGTAACCCAAACTCCACTATCCTTTTCATACTTCCTCACTTCCATGTCTGCATGATCAGCTGCATACATCTCATTATTTGCAACAACAACCATAGGGGGTGGCTCTGCTGTAGCAGGTATCTCTATTTCCCTGGCTGCTCCAGTCCTTACAGGGGACATGTTAGGGATTATGGTCCAACTTCTTGTCTCCAAATTATACTCCTCTCCACATGTAAGAAGCTTTGAATCACTTCCTCCAATTCCGCCAATCACATAAAACTTTCCTTCCATAAATACTGCAGCACAATTCTTCCGCGGCTTATTCATGCTTGGGAGTTCCATCCAAGTTCCAGTTTCAGAATTATAAAGTTCTGCGGTACTAAGGATATTGCCATCTGAATCACAACCACCAGCAAAAATAGCAATCTCCCTGAGGCTGTGAGCCCCAAACAAGCATCTTGGAGCATTCATCCTCATTCCAGAAGTCCATGTGTTTGTCAACAAACTATATCTGTATATGACCTCGGAAGTCAGCTCTTTTCCAAATACGAGGAGCTCAGTACCAACAGCCAAGGACTGCTTATCTGAACACATGAAGCATTCATTGAAAGGCATCAGTGGCAAGTGCATCCACCGGCCACGATATGGATCAAAAGCTTCCCACTCAAGGAGGCGGCAAGAAATATAGATCCAGTGTTCAATCACACCTTCCTGCCGCCTCAGTGTATAAAGTTTACCACTCCGAATGAGAGAGTGGAAGCTTGAGTTCAGAGATGCTATAGAATCATAATCAGATCTTGAGCATCGAACGAGACAGTTAATTGAGGGATCATAACCAATTTGATGGATAAGGGGAGCTGAATCTGAATTATCCCCAGCTTGACGCTGGTCACCAGTATTATCCCCATCTTGATGCTCGTTACCAGACTGGTGTGCTGAGGACGGTGATTGTCCACTGTTAGTTTCGTTGCCAATTTGATGGATAGGGGGAGCTGAGTCTGAAGTATCCCCTGCTTGACGCTGGTTACCAGACTGGTCTGCTGAGGTCGTTAATTGTCCACTGTTAGTTTCGTCGCCAATTTGATGGATAAGGGGAGCCCAGTCTGAATTATCCCCAGCTTGACCGTGACTACCAGATTGGTCCTCTGAGGACACTGACTGTTCATTCTTATTTGACCGTTCCGCTGGGGCTTCCTCATTGAGTGACAGCCCTGGATTGTGCGAGCTGCACCGACCACTGCTGGATGAAGTGTCATGCAACTCTAGAGGCTGTTCGACCCTTTCATGAGCGCGCAATTGCTTAGACAACTTCCTTTTAACTTCTTTGTCACCATGAATTTCCAATGGCCGCTTGCTGTTATTCATGTAAACCCAATTGTTTTCGGGTTCACAGGTTATCGAATAGCCCCTCGAAGCTACACAAGAGCTCTCTTCAAACATGTCTAAGTGGTTAATCCAAGGAAGACACCAATTTTACCAACCCAAACCGATCCAAATCCCTCTTTCTTCCTCACCAGACCGAAATCCCTTGTCAAAAATTGGCAACTCAAGCCCCAAAATCTTTTTCAAACACGAAAAACCACCTATTCAGATGCAGAAAAAATATCTATGTTTTTATGATTTTATAAAATAAAATAAAAAAGAACAGAGAAGGAAAACTAGAATCTCAAACTGTTTATCATCAAATCCTTAGTAAATAAAGCAAACCCCAAAACGCCAATGAACATAATTATCAAAAAACCTAATGTTATGACTCTTATCTACAATACCCACCGATCTGAATCCAGAGAACAGAGATTGAGATCAATGGAGTATAAATTGAAAATCAGAGTTTCAATTAATAGTATTATAAATCAAGAAGCAAAATGTCTCATAAATCATCATATTTTCCAATAGTGACAATAACCCAGAATTAAAAACAGCCTAAAAAACAAAGTTTTTTTAGCAAACAAGTTTGAGAAAGATCACCGAAAAGCAAAGTCAGCAAAAACAGATTTCAATCTATCCAAACCTAAACGTTTACCAACACATGAATCAAAATGAATACAATTAAGCTTTGAGTTTTCAATCTCAGTAATCAGACAAGAGCTGTGTTAACCATTGGTCATGCTATGGATAAGAACATTTTTTTTTTTTTGCAGTATTTAACATAATTTTCTCAGCCGAGAAAGAGAAAGAAAAAGAAGGAAAGAGAAAGTGAGTAATGATACAGGGGACTTACGGATTGGATAAGAAGAAAGACGATGAGTTGATTGAATTGTATGGCCAACCAATTTGTCTTTCTCTCTCTACTCTCTCTCTCTCTAGAGTCTGCCTCTGCAGTTTCTGTTCTTCGCGTTCTCGCTTTAAGTCGTCCTTTGTATTCTCTCTCTGCAAATAAGGCAGGCTTCTGTTTGGGCTTCGGGGCAAAATCTTTGAGGGTCCTCTCTCTCTCTATAACTCTCTCTCTCTCTCTCTCTCTCTCAAAATTTATATTGATGTACGTGTATAGCTGTATTTATGTGTGTGTATGCATATGTGTATATTACTACATGTATTTTGTTTTGTCGTCAAGATTTAAAAAAAGGGTGGGTCGTGGTGGTAATGGTGGTGGAGGAGGTGGTGGTGGTGGACCCAATACCTCTGGACTTTAGAGGGTTCGCCGTGGTCGACGATTCAATTTTGTAACCGGAAACCGGCGATAGACGGTAGACGGTAAGTGCTTAGATGCGACTCTAACTTTGTTTTTGTACATTATTGCTTTCCTTAATTTTGACATCTGATCACTAAACTTAGTATGTGGCAAAATTCATATGTAATTAATTTGAAATTTGTAATAATTTGAGTAAGATTTCTCAAATCAACCAATATTCTTTGGGGTCATCAAAATGGACTAGTGTTACAAGTGAGACTCCCATATCGAATCCGGATAGGAATTGAAAGGTATATAAATGGATAGATATGCATTGCTATCTAATAATCTAAGTTTTTGAATAAATGAACTTGTTGCAGTTGGTATCAGAGGCAAATTCAATCCTTGATATGACCAGGGCAACGTGAGCATTGTGTAAATTCGAGTGGAGTAGAATATTACAACTGAAAGAACAATTTTTTTTAAATATTTCATTAAATTGGAAACGATTTAAAAATCATTTCATTTGATTTTGTGGTATGTCTTAAAAATATTATTCCAACTTTTATTTACTTTTGGCTGCACATGGATTCTTCGTAATCATTTAAAACTTTTAATAAAAAATAACTATATCTATAGGTTAAGATAGGGTCGGCCTCAAACTTTCTTGTCCATCACTGTGAAAGATTTAATCATCATTCCCGCCAACCTTCCGTCTCCATGTTTGCTTATGCCTTCTTTTTATTTTTTAAAAAAACAGGTCAATTCATCAAAACATTGGTCAATAACAAAAAAAGTTAAGTGATGGGTTGTTATTTCAAAAGTGATCTAAACCATTAGTCAATAACTAAAAAGTTAAAGTAGGTTTATTTTCATGATAATTATGCTAATTGCATATGTGAACACCATGATTGTGATTGTGGTCACTTTTTACCTTTCATTATCACTTCATTAATATAATTATTTTATATTCAATGCGTTGTTTCGAGTAATTAGGCTCACGGTTAATCTTTTGTTTACGTAATCTGATGCGTAAGATGATCATTCAGGAATCAGGAGCTTAAAAATTCGTGAAAATAATAATTTTTAAAGTTAAAGTACAGAGCATGAATGTCTTCGATAATTATAATTGATTATTGCTGATATCACGTCATTTGGTAATATTAGGCGAATCAATCTAAGAATGGAGTTCGAATAGCAAAATGCAATAATGCGTTTTATTTCATAAATCAATCATGGTGTTTATTAGGCATGAAATGTCTTTTCATACTTAATTCTTTAGACAATCAAAAACTACATTGATTTGTTTAACATATCCTAATCTGTTAGATTTGTGATAAGGTCGTTGTTTGATTATGAAAGTGACTGTTATCCTACTTCAATGTAATCTTCTACCAATTGCCCAACAAAAAGGAAATTTGAAGATAAATATATATATATATATATAATTCCAAATAGTCTTCTATTCAAGTGGGATCCATCAATTTTTACTTTTTATTTTTACAATTTTTATATAAAATTATTTAAAATTTTGAAAATTCTACTAATTAATGGATGGACGTTTACTTATTTACCTAAAAGTTCAAACAGTTGGATAATGCTGCATATTCACCCATATATACCCAATCATATTTTCATCTGAATACGATGTGAGATAAATGGCCCTTGTTACATTCTCCTCCACCAGAATTCACGCAACGCCTTCGTTACGGTTGGACCACCTTATCTATTCGGAGTGAAAACTCTGACGCCCTTCGGACTTGGCGCTTGACGTGACACTGGATTAAAAATTAAGTGTGACTTAATATTAACGATAATGGGTGGATATTTATTTATTTATCTAAAAATTTAAATTATTGAATAATATTATATACCCATATATTTATATTCAATTACTTTTCAATTCGAATAAGTACCATTGTTACATTAAGCCACTAATGTCTTATTATGCCGTAGAACCCATCAAATTGAATGGTGTTTATTTATGTGATCACACCACGCGGCTGAAAATAAGTCATCACGAGATTTTGACCATCTTCACATTCCAAGACTATGATACCCCTGGTTTTATGTAGAACTTTGTTGCTTGTGCTCGTCCAAGGGAGGGTAGTTTTGGGATTTCCAGAAACTTTTGATTTTTTTATTTCTGTATGTTTTAACGGTTTTGGTGGTGTGGTTGTGGTTTTGCATAGATGACTTGACGGCGTCGTCGAGGACACAAGTGGACCAGCAGGTGGACTCGTGCGGCGCACGTGATTGGAGGGCCTCGATATAATCAAACACACGTGCCAGTGTAATATTGGGCAGAGGAGGCCCAAAGACATCGGTCTAGAAACTCGAGCCACGTGTCGGCGCACGTGGAGAGCTCTAATGGAAGCAAGTGTCAAGAAAGCCAATATTCTTTTAATTTTTTAATCTTCTTTAATTTTATTGTTATACAAAATGCTTCTTCTGTTACTTTAACGAAAAAAAAAAAAAATGCTTCTTCTGTTTTTTCTTTTTTAAATATTTAACTGTTTCTTTAATTTAAAAAGACAATTAAATTACACTAGGAGAGTTGGGATCCTGCATAATACAGCTCTCAATACTTGATCGAAGATCAATACATGGGATGGCCTCAACCCGAGGTCATTGACTCTGCCCTCTCCCCGAGTTTGAAGATCTGATATAGTATAATTCTCATACTATTGTAGAAGATTCGTATTCATTATATGAATTACCTATTGACAGTTTCTCAAGTCACATAATGATATTTGAAAACTGTCAAATTAGACTTTATCCGAGTCAATTGAGACTCTTGTAAGAGAGATTCACACCACACAATTCTTGCACTATAATTATTAAGTCACGCCATAATATTATCTGACCGACTCTGATACCTCAAACATTTTGGGTTCATTTTCACCGATTATTGAATATATAATTTTATTTTTTTATAAATTTAAAAAAAGTTATAAGAAATTATTGTTAAATTTTCACTCAGGGCAAAGGGCTACGGAGACCAAAATGGAGAAAAATTCTAAAACATGGGCACGTGCACACAACATTAAGTTGAAGGACTTTAGAAATAATGATCATAATAATCAATATGTGTGTGTGTGAGAGAGAGAGAGAGAGAGAGAGAGAGATAGATATACAACAATAATTAATCAATCTTCAAAACCAAGCAACTTCCCACTAGGGTCCTATCCCATCCAACCCACAAAAAGATTCTGGCGTGCACTAACTACTTATAATAATCTCTACCCTTGGATCGAGGTACCTATCAACCAATCCCAACTCAACACGTGTCAACCACTTGCCTAAAGACGTGTGGCCATGTGAAGCATTGTTGGACGGTGAGAAAAGTGTTAATGACTAATTGCAACTCACAAAACACACCCCCACTTAACACTTAACAAAGGATCAATCTAGAAAAAGTATGAAAAAACACCCCCCCTAATGCACTCATTGACTTAATATATATATATATATATATATATATATATATATATATTGAATCCATATATGTTCTATGTGTGATGCACACACTTCTTTTTCTTCCTTTTTTAATGGAGTTAAGACTTTTTTTGTAACATTAATAAAGCTAATATTCAATTTCTTTCTTCTTTTTTTTTTTCGTTTAAAATTTTCCTTTATAACAAAAAAAAAATTTACTAATGCCATGTTTGATAGCATTGAATTGGCGCTGAATTGAAAATTGAAAGAAATTTAGTTTAAAATTTAAACTGAATTATACTGTATCAATTTTCAATTTCGAGACACTGATTAAGTGCTTCTAAATACAACATAAAAAATTTCATAACGAGTATCATTTTCTTTATGTAAATATATTATTTTGTTGAAATTTGTAAATAGAAACTATTTTGAAATGGTTTTTTTTTAGGAGAATCAATTGATTGTTACGACTTGACACAAATATACATAGCTAGTGTTACATAAGTTGCATCCTTTACGCGAGAAAAATTTGGTTGCACCTGTTACATCTTGCAATAGGCGTATTTGGACTTTTTATTGTCGCGCTTGTAATACACAAGCACAAATGATTTGAATGTGCCAGTTGTATGATACGAGTGCATAAAAGTTTTTCTCTAACACACCTATATATATATATATACAAACACACACACACACAAACACATCCAAGAAACAACATATGCAAATGCAAACGGAGCAACTCAAACCAATAATTGTGGAAAGGAGAAGGAACAAAGACAAGTGAGTGAGGAAGAGACCTTTTGTAAGACAATGCTTATGAGAAGTGTCTCATTTATACAACTAAGATGAGAAAATTTGGGTTTCAATTTTTCTGTTTTGTGACCTTGTAAATTGATTGCTTATTTGCGTTAGTTGGTGGTGTTATTTCTTGTTTTGGAGTGAAAGATAAGTGAAGTAGGATGGAGTGGGGCCTACCCATGTGAGATGTATGGTTGTTAATATGACAGAGATAGCATGTTAGTTTGGGTTACATCTGGCAAAGGACCCATCATTCCAAATAAAATAAAGTGGGTTTTAAAAAAACAATCCACCCAAATCCAAATCATTAGAGATTAAAAAAAGAAAAAGAAAAAGAAAAAAGCAATTAAAAATCAATTTTTTACTTTGTTATATGGTGATAATAAATGACCATAAGCTTTAATAAAGCCTAAAAAATCGTTTGTGCATGCGCGCACTAATTCACCTAATTTATACATATATGTATATATATATAGAAATTGTGTTTGTTTTTTTTTTTTTTTTTTTAGAGAGAAACGCTTAAATCATATCTAATAATGAGAATATTAATAAAGCCCACGGAGTCCAACAGTGGCAGCGATAACAGCAGCTATGGATCGATTTTGGCCACTGGGTGTTGGAGTGAGACTCAATGGCGCAAAG